GATCATGTAGCTGACATTTTCAAGGTAAACGCAATTTCAGTAACATGTAACCTTGTATCTAACTCCTATATACATACTAATGATGCTACTAAAGGACAAGATGGACATATATTACATCAATTCTTTCCCAATGTACCTCCCGGATTTAAAATTGTAGAGAATCCCACAAGTCTTATATATTTATCTATCAACACACGTGTCATCGATTACATTTCCCTTAAAATAGTTGATCAAGACGGTAATCTTGTTAATTTCCGTGGAAAGCGTGTTACAGTAAGACTTCACTTACGAAAACTATAACATGGTTGCGCGATACAACTGTGTCCAACGTTGTTCGAACAAAAATACTACTATAAAACGATCACCACACTCTGAGACGTTTATTTCGCTTGCACCCGTTCAGCGATTAACATCGTCTAATAAACAGTTCCTTAAATCTTTGGGGTTGCGATTGAAAAAGGTGGAAAGTTAAAATGGTTGCAGAAATACTAAATGTCACCGAGAAAGCAGTCTTCGACAACGCTATTATTAACGCTGATAAACATACTCATTAACCCTATGCTAATTCAACTTTTAAAAATAATGATACCATACGCATTCCAATAGAAAATGAAGATGTTTACANTTAATCATTCATGATCGTGTGATACGTTACAATCTCTCTACAAACTTGGTTCAAGAAGTATAAAACCCAATGACTACATCCATACTTCACTTTCTGTACCGGTACTGAACAGTGAGCACGATGATTTATTGAGCCATTGTTGACATAGGCTGACGGTGTTTTCAATAGCTTGGGGTAGATCGTTGCAGAATATGCTGTAGAGATGCGGGGCGAGCACTGTGCCCTGTAGTACTCCTGCAGTAAGTGAGAAAGTTCGCGAGAAAGTATTACCGATTTTGATTCGGGAGGGTCTGTTCGTTAGAAAGGAGTGTATTATTTTCACGAAGTGTGGTGGAAGGTTGATGTGAAGTAATTTGTACAAGAGGCCGTTATGTCATACAGTGTTCAAAGCTCTTTCGAAATCTAAGGCGCCGCCTGTGTTTATGTACGAAGTTACTTCAGATTGGAGTTTTAGGACTGGGGCAAGGGGGGAGCGTTTCTTTCGGTACCCAGTTTGTGAATTTGGAATGATATGGTTGTGATCGCAGTATTCGGTTAGACGGGACGCGATAATACGTTCGAATATTTTTCTGGAGTTGTTTACTAGGGAGATGGGCCGGCATGATTTCGCGTCTATATGGTCTTTTCCTAGTTTAGG